CACTGCTGGCCTGGCCCCTTCCCGGGGGGTCCCTGGGGACAGTGCCCTCCTGGGGAGCCCCACGCAGATTCGGACACACTCACCTTGATTACAGGAATTTGGGGTAACTGAAGTCAGGCCCCCCAGGTGGTGGCCAGCTTCTCGCCCCGTGTCTGCCCTGCGTGTGACCTGCTGGGGACGAGAGCGCCGTCGCTCACTGGCCACTCTCGGTCCATCTCACCGCGTCTTATGAGGCTCTGGGTGGACTCGGGCCCATCCAGCCCAGCTGGGTCCTGGGTGCAGGTCCTGGGTGCCGTCTCCGGGGGTGGCCCTGTGGGCCCTAGTGTCCTGCACACTTGGGTGCCGCGCCTCCCTCTTCCCTTGCCGTGTCTCCTGCTCCCCACTGGGGCTGGAGCCTGCAATAGCTTCGGTCCCAAGTGCCGTGGAGGACTCAGCCATGCCCGAGCGCTGTCCCTTCGCCCTCACACCTGCCCGTTGGTCTGGTGGCACAGTGCAGGGCCGCATGCGGGGGCCCAGCCTGGCACCCTCCCTGCCTGGGCTCAGCCCACTGCACGCGGGGCCCTGCAAGTGGGCGGGGTTCAAGGCCAGGGTCATGGCTAAGACGCCTGGTGGCGGGGAAGGGCTGTCACCCCAAGTCCTGTGCCCCCGACAGTGTCGGGCTTGACCAGTCACGTCGCAGCCCCCAGGCTAAATACGGAGGAGGACGTGTCCGGAGGGAGGGCTGCCTGGAGACGGTGTGTTCCCGGCTTATTTGGATGGTGTTCCTCTCACCTTGCCAGGGACCAGGACCAAGTGACAGGGTGAGCGTAGGACTCTTCGGGAGGACGCTGTTTGCACTGGAGCCTGGTGATGGCAGTGACTGGGGCATCTTGAACCAAGGGAGATGAAGGACTTCTGGAATATTCTTAGCTCAGTACAGATCGGGAGACGTAAGACTGGTGTGTGAGGGGGCCATGGCAACCTCCGGGTGACCTGGGGCCACAGGGACGCTGAGACCTGGCAGGAAGAGCTGTTCTCGGGTGTGCAGGCAAGGAGGTGGCCGCCCCGCCAGCCGCCCCGGGGTTCTGTCCCCGGGCTCCCCAGGCCCTGCCTCCCAGCGAGGACCCAGCTCTCACTTTCTGCCTCATGGGCGTGTTAAAAAATTTGCAATAAAAGGAAAAGGGCTTTTGGGGGTTGTTCTGATTTTGGTTTTAGCCCCATAACACGTGGGAATCAGACCTAATTTTCTTAACTCGGCTCTTGTGTTTTTGCATCCAGTCAAGACGCTGAGTCGGGGGCAGCGTGTGAGTCTTTGTTTTCACTGACAATGACTAAATCTTGAGTGACAGGAGTGCTGGGCCGTGTCTGCTGGCAAGGGTGGGCTTGAGCTCAGAGATGGGGACCCCGCTGTGTGCACCCAAGGGTGTTTGGAGCCACGTCAAGCTTTTGGTGACTGAAATGATGCCTGGACGATTCTGCAAATCACCCCTTTATACTTAGACCCTGCCATGCGCGCTGCATGCTCCCCAAGCCAGTCGCTCTGGCAGGAGCACTGGGGGAGGCAGGAAAGACACTGGGGGGGTGTGATTGTCATCCCCCAACTCCGGACAGGAGCACAGCCCCTGCGGCTGTGGGTGCATTTCAAGGTCAGAAGCGGTGTATCCTGGGCCTGTGCGCGCCTTGTGGCAGCCTGAAAACGTGTGATCCAGGCAGTGCCCCTGACATGGTAGAGGTTGGCAGTGGCTTCATCCTGGGATTCAGGGCACAGGGGGTGTGGAGCATTGGTGGGGGAGGAGGAAGGGATATTACCCCTTCACTCACAGAGCTGCCGTGACCTCGAAGTCCCAGGGCCCTGGTGGGCAAAGCTGGCCTGGCAGCACTGCAAAGCCGGCCGGCCCCACACCACCCTCAGGCCAGCCTTACGGTTCCCAGCCCCCGTGGCAGCCCGTGCAGCCTTGCTGGTGTTCTGCCTAGGGCTGCTCCATGAGGGGCTCCCCAGCCGTCCCCCTCAATTTTCGCCGCTCCAGTGCAGGTCTCCAGTTGTGGGTTTGCTCTGGGGCATCCCTGCCATTCACTCCGCAGTCACCTTCTTCTCGGGTTCATCCATGAGAACGTGGATCGACTGAGTGTGGATTGGCGAACGTGACATTCCAACCCGGTGGCTTTTCTGGAGTGTTTCCTGCAGGATTAGACGGTCAGGTCTGAGAGGCCCAGAACAGGGTCCTGCCACACTTTCTTAGTCAACACAAGACGTTCAGAGAAGCAGCACTTTCTAAAAGACGGCAATGTGCTAAAAGATAAAAAAAAATTTTTTTTTTAATGCTGGAATGTTTAGGAAAATGTGAGTCCAGTTACAGGTGTTTTTACCTAACACGGGAAAACATCTGTCACAATATTGCAGAGCTGAGGCTGCGTGAGTGTGGGTGGCTGCCAAGCAGAAGGGTTTGGCACCGGGTGGAATGGGGCCCCTCCCTAGCCCTGCACCTCCGGTGCCTGTCAGAACCCCGATTCTGGTTTCTTAGCCCTCTTGGGTGGACAGTCTTTACGTGGTCCTGTTTGTGTTGGAGAATTCGAACTGAAACCAAGAGCATGAACAGAGGGGGCGTCCCCCAGAGCCGGCCCTGCAGAAAGACGGAGTGGAGACTCTCGGCCCACCCCGCGCGGTGTGTCCGGTCTCGCAGTGTTGCCACCAGCATGTGATACGAAGGAAGGAGATCCGGGGTGTGGTCATTCATTTGCTCAAGGCTGGAAGGGGCACCCCAGCTCTGAGAGGAGCCCAGGACACCCCGTTTTGAGGGCGTGGAGCAGTTGCTTTCTGATGCTCAAATAGATTGTTTTGTAAGTGACATAATGGAAGACGGACAGGGCCGGGGACAGGGCCGGGGACGTGGGACAACAGCTGTTCCATTTAAAAAGGCCCCTTTCAGCACCAGGTGGAGTCACCCGGGTCAGCTGGGGATTCTGGGCAAATGGGGCATTGGCTTCAGGGGCCCGCACCCTGTCGCCCTGGCCTGTCCCCAGCATCTGGGGTGGCCCTTGGCCGGACAGTCAACAGATGTGCTGGCAGGCGTGGGCAGCCCGCCCCGAGGAACCTGGCCAGCCTGTCCAGGGAGCGGCCAGCTGTTGAACCCCCATGGGGAGTCCTGGAAGGACCCTTTTGGCCAAAAAAGACTGGAAGAGGGAGGTGGCAGGCGCGGTGGGCCAGGGCCATCTGGCTAGCGGCACCAAGCCCTGCATCTCTGAAGGGGCACCCCTGAGACGCCCGCCTGGCCCCCAGCCCGCCACTCTCAGCAGCCCAGGGGCCAGCCAGCTGTAACCAGACCCCGCTGTTTCTGCTGTGAGGCCTTCTCGCGCTGGTGTGGCCAGGTCCGTCTCCTGCGCCGGGCCCCGTGGCCGTGATGCCAGGGGAGTTGCAGACGCGCGCTGGCAGGCCCTGCTTCTGGAGAAATTGCATCGTTCTAGAAAACTTTTCCCTTCCCTGTAACCTTGGAAGTTGGGGTGGAGGAGGGCAGATTTAAGTTGCTTCACCACCTACCAGGACATTTTCCCAGAAATGGGGGCCTGGGGCTGTGTCCTGCGTCTTCAGCCGTCCTCCAGGGCCCTGGCCTGGGCTGGAGCACTCTGGGCAGCTGCCGGGTTGCTCAACAGGACTGGCGGCTGAGGCCGGCAGGTGTCGATCAGGACGCGGGAGCCGCCCAGCCAGGCCCTTCATGTAAATCTTAAGTATTTCTCCCATCAAAAAAATTATTTCTTTTTATTCCAATGGAATCTTAAAAACGGAGAGACTGTGCGTGAGGCTGGCGACTGCACATTTGTGTCGTGCTCAGAGGCCCACCCGCGGCTGCCATCCTTGTGTGCCGGGAGACCCTGGCCTCCGGTGGGGTGTTCCTCGGGCTGAGGGGCCGCTGTCTGAGCATTGCTGCACCCGAGGTCCCTAGTGGGCCTTGTCAAGCCCTCACCCGAAGGACCGTGCGTTGTCCCCAGGACCTGCCGGGACCCGGGTCTCCTCCTCTGCGTACCCGGGGACGAGGCTCTGCAGCCGCAGCCGCCGTCCTGCTCCTGCTGCTAGTGTCCAGGGTCAGTCTCCGGCCGCCGCTGCAGGCTTCCAGTGACAGACTCCAGGTTACACCGGTTGGTTTTTGTGCGGTTTTCCCTGGCAGCTGGAAGGGACCTGTGTTTTCTGATAAAGCACAAAGAATCCATTTGGACTTGAGTGATGACGCGCGTCTGGTTCCTCACCAAAGGCGTCTCGCAGATCGCAGGGCTGGCGCGGCTTCCGGCCGGAGGCCTGGGCCTCCCTCAGGGCGCCCGCGGGTTCTAGAACCCTGCCCGAGATTTTTTTTTCCTCTTTATCCTGCCTGCCTGTTCACATTTAATTTGTTCTCGTGTTCTCAGCCGTGTGCAATGGATTAACATTTCATCGGGATGGATTAAGATCGAACTGACATTAAAGCGGCCTTTTTCTATTTCCCTTCTGTCACTTTTCGGCACAGGGGGCGGGGGCGGGGGTGGCCGGGCTCATCCCCCAGGACCCGGTGAGGACGGGGCCCGTCAGGACGGGGGCCGGTCGCCAGGCTCCTGCTGCCGCGGGGAGGCCTGGCTGGAGCCGCAGCCGCTCCATCAGCATAACGAGATGTCACATGGAACAAAAGCTTTCGGGGTTTTATTTAGCTCCTAATCCGCACGCCTGGAGAGCCCAGGTCCATGTGAGCTCCCAGCCGGAGAGGGGGCTGGAGCGCGGCTTCCTTTCTGGGGCCGAGCCGCAAGGAAGAGACCTCGGCCGCCGCGGGCGAGGGCGGCAAAGTTACCGTGAGTGTTGTGTTTTGTCTACTAAGGTTTCGGAGGATTAATAATTTAGGCCGCACTTTGAAATAGAAACCCCCCCCCCCCCGGCCCCCCACCGTTGGTTCTTCCTGCTGGCCGGGAGGATCCGCCGCACAGCCGGGCCGGGCTGCCGAGTGCGACTGAAGACTGATCGCGGGAGGCGTCCTCCGAGCCCCGCCGCCGCCATTGTCCTGCCCATGCCGATCCCCAGCGGCAGGCAGCTCGGTGCCGGCCGCTCCCAGAGCTGGGATGCCGCCGGGGGGCACGAGGGCCCCTGGGCGCTGGCCGAGGCGCCGCGGCCGGCGGGGAGGAGGAGCTCTCTGATGGACGGAGAGGGGCCTTGGTATGATCCCCCGGGCCCCGGGCTGCGGGCCGCCGCCCAGCCCTGCCTCCCCTGGGGGGCTGCCGCGGGAAGGAAGACTTCCGCTCCCGACTTTACCCTTCACGACAGCAGCCAGGCCGTGATGTCTGCCCGGGGCGCCCTGCTGCAGCGGGATTACTACTGCGAGCCGGCCGGAGCCACCAGGGTGCCCAGAGAGCCGCGCCCCCCCGGGGGCCCAGTGCCAGGCCGGCCAGTGCCCAGCTATGGCATGCCGGGCAGCAGGATGACCTGGGGCCCAGTGCCAAGCCGGATGCCTGCCCTGCCGGACACCGGCCCCCTGTACTGGGACGATGGAGGTAAAGCGAGCCCCCTGGGACAGCGGACGCAGAGCTGGGCCCCGTTGCCGGCACGCTATGCCGGGGAGCTGCCCGGCGGCAGGCACAGGGCAGAGGCACCCGCCTACACCCCCGGCCAGGTCTACGACGAGGTGGGCCTGCAGCCTCTGGATCCCGCCAGACAGGCAGCCCCCACGTGCCTGGTCGTGGACCCTGGTGCAGCTGCCGCCTCTGAGGACAGCACAGGGGCACCCCCAGGATCGCTGAGTCGAGGCTACGGGCCTGCCCCGGAGAGCAGCCCCCCCAAGGGGGCCTATGAGAATTTCGAGGTGGACCTGGCCGCCGTGCAGGGCCCGGGTGACAAGAGGAGCATGCAGCCCGAGTTCCTGGCCCTCCTGCGGGCCGAGGGTGTGGCGGAGGCCACGCTGCTGGCCCTGCTGCAGCAAGGCTTCGACTCCCCGGCCATCCTGGCCACCATGGAAGAGGCGGACATCAAGTGTGTGGCTCCCAACCTGGGCCAGGCCCGCGTCCTGGGCCACCTGGCCAGCAGCTGCAGGGCCGAGTTGCAGCAGCGGAGGCAGGGCCAGGGTGGGTCCGCGCCCCGGGCTCGCTCCAGCAGCTTCAGCCACCGAAGCGACCTCCAGGGGGCCCTGTCTGCTCTGGGTGCCTCGGCCCACCCGCCCCAGCCTGTGGGGGCCCCGCAGGCAGCGGCCCCCCGAGCTGGAGACCTGGGGCGCCGCCCCTCCAGTGCGCCAACCCAGCACCTCCTAGAGACGGCCACCTACTCCGCTCCAGGAGTGGGCGCCCCAGCCCCGCACTTGCCCTCCGGCCCTGGGTACAGCTCTCCCACGCCCTGTGCCCTGACCACTCGGCTGGGCCCCGCGTACCCCGCCCCAGCCGGGGTGGCCTTGACGAACCCTGGCCCCAGGACCGCCTACTCCACAGCCTACACGGTGCCCATGGAGCTGCTGAAGCGGGGGCGCAGCGTGGCCGCGTGTCCCCTGCCCAGCCCCCACGGCAGCCCCCAGCTCCTCCGGAAGCCCGGGGGCCCCATGGAGCCGTCCCCCCTGCTGCCGGCCAGCCAGAACCTCCACACGCCTCCCTCGTCCTACCAGAAGGTGGCCCGGAGGACGGGGGCCCCCATCATCGTGTCCACCATGCTCGCTCCGGAACCAAGTACGCCCCTCCCCGCCGTCCCTGGCTCGGGCGGGGCGGGCTGGCGGGGCGGGGCCGCGCACGGGACGGGGGGACGGGGGGCCCTGGTGTCTGCTCCCTCGCGCCCAGCCGGCGCCCAGGGCCACACCGACGGCACGTGCACGCCCCACGGAACGGGGCGCCTGGCGGCTCCCGGCCTGCCAGATGACTGGTTCTCTTGGGGAACAGCGGCCTGCGGTTCCGGCTGACCCACTGGGGCGGCGCTGCCACCCCCGTTACTACTTGGTCTTCACTAGATTTGTGGGTTCCCCTTTGTGGTGATGAAGCACAACCGTTCTGGGGTAAACCCAGGAATCACTCGGAGCAGACAGGGACCCCCGGGGCCGAGGCCTGTGTTCTCTCCAGCCGTGGGGCAGGGGGACCCCCCGAGGCCTCTCCTGCGCTCCTGCCACTGCGCCCTGAGACGGCCTCCCGCGTGGGGGCGCCCCCGAGGGTCCCTGTGCAGAGCAGAGTGGGGGCAGGGTCCGCACCTGTGTGCCGGGGCGCCGCCTTCGTAGCGGGATCCCCGCTGGCCCTGCCTGGGACGGTCCTGGGGGGCGGTGTCCCCCCGGGCTCGGGGTGTGCTGCAGAGGGCGCGGGTCTGGTCAGACACGCAGGATTTTTAAATTTTCACTCCGGGATCTTTTCCTGATAGGTCAGCTGCGGATCCGTTTTGCCTTTTGTTTTTTTCTCTCTGTTGTTCCCCAACGTAATTCAGAAAACAGAATCTTTTTTTTTTTTTTTTTTTTTTTTCATAATTAGTGCCGTGGGGTAGAGGCGGCGAGGTGGAAATCTTGGGAAAAACAAGCCGTGGGTTTTTTCAGAGCCCATCACCGGCTGCGGCGGGTCCTGGGAGCCTGCCGTGGCCCCGGGGGTGCAGGCGGGGGAGCTGGGGGTCCCTGGGCACTAGCTGACCCGAACGTCCGTTGTCCTTTCCCTGGTTAACCCCAAGGCACCCGGGCGGTGGCGTTCTCTGGTCTCGCTGTGGGTTCTGGTTCTGTCTCCTGAGTGGATCTCTTCTTTTTTTAAGTCTGCTTGTGCAATTTCTTTGACTTGTGTTAATGTGCGGCAGGAGAAAAGTCAGAGCATTTCTCCAAAGGCCTGCGCCTTCTCCCCCCGTCCAACATACTTTCTTTGCAACCAACTAATTTGCATGGCAATGACATTTGTTGCTCCAGTAATTTCATCTGATAATGGCCGGGCTTGCAAAGCGGATCTGAAAACATATTCCTTAATTATGTGTTGCTAGGCGACGGGAGGGTTCGGCCATCATCACGGAGCCTCCCGGTTGAAGTCCTGGAAAGGTCTTGGGGGCGGGCCTGCAGAACCCCCTCTTCTCCTCTTTTCCTGTTGATTTTGCGGCTCCACCTCGCGCTGCTGCGGGGCGGGCGCGGGGTCCTGGGGAGCGGGGCTCGCAGCCTGCCGTGGGCGCTGGGGCTGCAGACCCGGGAGTATGGATTCTGGTTTCCTCCGCGTGGCAGCGCGCCCGGTGCCGAGGAAGCTGCCTCGGAAGGCTGCCAGGAAATAAATATCTCTGTCGAGTGATCGATCCCGGAGCAGCCGTTTTCCTCCTAGCACATTCCCTGCGTCGTTTCGCGTCCCCACCCCCCTTCGCCCCCCGAGGCGATGCGTCGGGCCAGGCAGGAGCGCGGCTTCCCCAGAGCTGCCAGCCTGTGTGGAAATGGCATTTGTGCGGCAGGCCTGCCCCCCGCCGCCAGACGTGGCCTGCTGCAGCCCGGTCCTGGTCCTGCTCCGGGCAGTGGCCTCTCCCCAGAGAAGAGCCCGCAGACCTGAAGCCCGGAGGTGCCGGCCCCCGGGCCAGGCTGCGAGCTGAGCTGCGGGAGAGGCCAGCTCGTCCAGCGGCCCTGGCCACGCGCACCGTGCGCGACGAACCTCGCTTTTGGTCTTTGCGTGACACGAGCGCTCCCGTGACCCCGAGAGCGGCCGTCTGCGTGTTTACGGTGTTTGTTGTGCTGGTTTTATTTTTATGTGCTTTGGGGCATTTTAACACATTTGCGTCTTGGTCCAGAACTGCCCACTTCGTGCTGGCTGGCCGCGCTGGTGTCAGTCAGGGGGGCATGTTAGCTCGTGCACAGGCCCGCGAGGAGCGTCCCCTCCCTGGCACCAGCCCCGCGGGACGTGGCGTGGGGGGCTGCACGGGGAGGGGCTGGGCTGCAGCCACTGCAGGTCTTGTGTCCCCAGAGCACAGCAGCTGGCGGGGGGAGAGGTGCGTGTGTGGGCCTGGCCCTGCCTTCTCGCCCACGCCACCTCCTCCCGGGCACTTTCCAGATGCAGTGAACGCAACACGTGCCTCTGTGACCCCCTCCGAGTCGCTGGGGCGTCTGGCTGGTGGGGTGGGGTCCGTGGCTGTCCCTGCCAACAGTGCAGGCCGCTGGAGTTCCCAGGACCCCTGCCGGGGCTTCCGGGTAGAAGTCTCCTCTTACGCACCTCCCAGCCCCCCACAGCTTTCAGTCCTGCCGAATCGGAACAGGCTTTCCCCTGCGCCTCGCACATCCCTATGGACTCCCCCACAGCCTTCACTTTTTGGAGGTGTCCCTACGTGGGTGCAGGGAGGTACGGGGTGAGTCAGGGTCTGAGGGTGATAACCCTAAACCCAACGAACTGAGGCAGGCTGGAGAAGCTACCACAAGACCCCAAAGATGCCCGCAGGCGCCCCCACCCACGGCAGGGCCTGCTGGAGAAGGGCGGGCTGGGGCTCCGGGCTCCTGCGGGCCGCGGGCTGGTCCCGGACTGTAGCTGCGGAGCCACAGGAGGGGCTTCAGGGCCAGGGCCTGTTTCCTGTCCCCAAAGTCCCATGAGGTGAGACCCCCAAAGCCCCTTCTCAGCCCCTGCTGGCACGTGGAGGGTCGTTGGTCTTTTGTTCTGAAGAACCACCCTCGCCGTGCAGCGCCCATCAGCCAGGGCTGCGCCGAGAACCGGAAGGTCCTCTCGAGGCCCCTGGGTGGGGCCCCGACCTCTCACGTTTCCGGAGGCCCTGGGGGCCGGGGCGCTGGGCAGGGTGTCAGCTTGGAGGTTCCCAGAGGGGCTTGGTTTGCTATTCCCGGTGACACCGGAGCCAGCGACTGTCCTCCAGCAGGGTCCTCCGCGCGTCACCTGGAGCCCCCCTCGTCCCGGCAGGTGCTGCTTCCCGAGCTCTCGTCTCTGGAGGAGCCGCCAGCAGCAGGAACGCTGCGAGCTCAGCTTCTGTGGGGGTGTTGTCTGGGCCCCGACACGCCCTGCGGGAGCAGAGTCAGCTCCGGGGGATTCCGGGGCTGCTGGCTGAGGGGCGGGCCGGAGGGGAGCCCGCTCCTGGCGTGGCCTTCGGCCCACCGTGGGCAGCGGGAGGCGAGTTTATCCAACTAGACTCGCCCGGGGGCTCGCTCGGCGCAGCCGGTCCTCCCTCTGGTGCTCCGGGACCACCGAGTGAGGCCGGGCCTCGGAAACGCGCCGCGTCCACCACATTTTACCAGAACTAGTAGCGGTGCGCGCCGGGGCCCGCCTGGCGTGGTGACGTCCTGGGCGGCGATTCAGGCCCGGCCAGGCCGGCCGGTCTGAGTGGGTGGCAGCGACCTGGTGCTGCCGGAACTTTCTGCTCGTGGGGCCTGGTGGGTGCTGCTTCCGTGCAGCCAGGATACAAGAGGCTCCCTCAGCATCAGGGCGCGGGCGGAGCACCCCAGCCCCCCACCCCCGAACTCCACCCAGGCCGCCACGCGATTCCAAGGGAAGTGTGTCCTGTTTCTCAGCTCAAGGTCGCGGTGCGGGGCTGTCTGCAGTTCAGGCTGCCAGGACCACCCCACGGCCACCCCATAGCCAGGGGCGGCACCTTGGAGCTGGTCAGGGGGCGGCAGGCGCTGGTCTTGCCGGAGGACAGCGGGCTCCACCATGCTTGTTTGTCCAGCTAGACGAGTGGTTCTCACAGCCGCAGTGATCGGGAGACACACGCTCACACACACGCCGCTCACAGACATGCACACGCACACACATTCACACACACACACACACACACACTCACACTCTCATACACGCTGCCTTTACGGCGCTCACCAGCACCCTCGGGTGGGAGAGAGCTCTCAGGGCGAGGCCAGTGTAGCTCCTCTGGGGTCCCTGTGGGCCAGACCCCATGGGGTACGGGCGAAACCAGGGCTAAGGGGCCACTCCAGAGAGGCCAGCGGTCACCTCGCATCCCTGACCTTTGTTTCTGCGCCGGCCGGATCCCTGGAGACCTCGAGCCCCACAGTCACCCCTCAGCCCCCAGGTGTCCAGTGCGGGGGCCGTTGCTGCTGAGGCTACAGGACCAGAAAGAAAGGGCCCCTCTCCCAGCCCCCCACGGCCCGCCACGAGCAGGGGAACCGGGAGGCGGCGGCTTCCTGGAGCCCGGAGCCTGCGCGCCGAGAGGGAGCCGGGGGGAGGCAGAGCAGCCTTCGCCGGGACAGCCCGGGAGGCACGGACTGCGGGGGGCGTCTCCGCGTCCCTTCATCGTCGCTCCCGGAGCCGCACGCCCCGCGGACTGTGGCCGCTCGGAAGGAACGAGTCACTTGCAGGCAAATCACTCGGGAAGTAAAATCATCCCCGAAATGCCCGTCGCTTCCAACAGCGCCGCGCGGAGCCCCACGCAGGCTCGGAGCAGCCGCGGCCTCGAAGCCGTTCCGTGGGCAGCCGCCTCCCTCGCCGGCTCCGGGGGCTCGTCCCACAAGCCTAGGGCACCGCCGTGGCCCCGACCTCCCCGCAGCGGGTGGGTCACCGCGCCCGGCCCCGGGTCGCATCCGCTTTCCCAACGGCCCGGGAGCTACAGCGCGGCAGGTGCGTCGCCACCAGAGGCTGCCCAGGCCCGAGTGGGGTCCGCGGGCAGCCCCAGTGCAGCTGCGTTTGCGGGGTGAACGGTCTGGGGTAAGGCGGGGCTGCTGGGCCCCAAGGTCTGCGTCCAGGCCCCGTGAGGCCCTGGCCCACGGTCAGCTTGGAGCCCCCCCCCCCCGATCTGATTCTGTGTCTCTAGAAATCAGAGCAGCTGAGCCCGCCGTGAGGGCTGGACGGCGCGGGCTCCGGGAAGTAGTCTCGTAGCTGGGGAGCGGCCGCATCGAGGGGGATTGGGAGACACCATCAGACCTTGCGATGGGGTCCAGGCTGGAGAGGCTGCGGGTGGGAAGTTGGAAGCCCCGAGGCCCCCCCTTACCTCAGGCACCTTGCAGGGCCTGGGAGCCGACAGCCTGCTGGCTCAGCGGGCCCCACGGCCTCTTGCTGGAAAGTACGCAGCGCCCTGCGCCGTAAATGTGCCTCAGCCCTCCCTGCCCGTCCTGCCCCCCAACCCCGGCCTGTTGGCAGGTCCTTCCCCTTGGTGGCCCGGCAGGCAGGGAGGGGTGACCCCGCTCAAGCGGATCGCGCGCACCCTGACCGTCGTCCTGAGGGCTGGAGCTCTGCCGCTCCGGGCGGCCGGCGATGGCAAGGACAGGGTCTGTCCACTGGCCCCAGCGCGGCCACTTCGCGTGACGATGAAGCCTCTCCTGGGGTGCCGGCGGCAGCGGGGTCACAGCTGAGGCGGTTTGGCTCTTAAGCTGCAACAGACCTTCCGGAACAGCCGGGGTCTCTGGGAGGGACGTCAGGGCAGGCCAGGAAATGGGTGGGAAGCGGGGAGCCCCAGGAAGAAATCCCGTGTCCTCTCCAGAGAAGGCAGAAAGCCACCAGCGACCCCCTGGGGACCCCGCCTTCTCCCTGGGGGTCTGAGAGGCCTTTGGACTTGGCCTTCCCGGACAACTGACCCCTGAAAGGTCTGGCCCCTGCTCCGTTCTGTCTTTGCTTCCCAATGGGGGGCGGGGGCGCCCCGGGAGCCGGCCTCAGGCCGGGCGCTCAGCCTCCCCGCAGCCGGGTGCCACGGGCACCAGGGCACTGGCGAGCGGGCCGGCGCGCGGTCCAGACCGGCGGGGAGTGTCCCGCCGTGGCCTGGGCAGCTGCAAGGCTGCTGAAACAGGGAGCAAGTCTTGTAGAAAGGAAAAGGAGTCGCCCCCCCGGAGGGCCACGAGCCCCCGACCCTCCGGCCTCCGCGTCTTGTCCGCAGCCGCCCGCGGGCGCCCCTCGCTGCCGCCTTGGACGGTGCCGTGGGAGCAGCGGCGGCTGGTGCGGAATCTGCTCGGGGTCGTGGGCTCCGGGCCTAGGGCTTGAGCAGAGACGGGAACCTCAGGGCCGGGGAATGTGATCTCGAGGCTCGTGACCCCCCTTCACCACAGGGAGTCCCGGCCCCTCCCGGGTCCTCCCTTCCCTGCAAGGGTCGTTTGCTCTTAATTAACCTGGAGGACCCGGGGCTGCCGCGTCAGGTTTCTTTCGTTCACATTTGCAGACACACGAAGGACGTGTCCGTTCGTGTGCGGTGAAGTGGGAACCCCAAGTTGCTGGTGTCCCGGGGCGCCCATCCTCGGGGCTGGGGCTGCTGGAGGTGGGCCCCGCGCCGCCCCAGGACGTGCGCCCCCGGCCCCAGGGCAGACCCAACTCCTCCACCGGCTCCCGCCTGCCTGGGGCCTCGGCCCTCCTGGACGCCGGCGAAGGGGGGGGTTTGCTGGCGGGAAAGGCCACCCTGGCAGGGAGGGAGGCGATCGCTAGGCAACCTGGAGTTTGTTTCCCAGGTAACGGGATCCCTGCGCAGAGGCTGCGGACGGCCGGTGGCTGCTCGGCCCCTGCGGAGGCCCGGCCGCCCGAGGCCTGCCTTGCGCCACGGTTGCCCTGTTGCTTTCGAAGACCGACCTGGGTCTCCTGCGGCAGCCATGAGCTCTGCCTCCTGCCGGCCCCGGGGGTCACGCTGGGCGCCCCTCACCTTGCGGGCGGGACGAGTGAGCGTGTCTACTGCCAGGACCACCCCCCACGGGGCCCACCTGGGGCCTCGCGGTCAAGGGGCGGCAGGAGAGGCCCCGGGGAGAGAGGCGGAGCCCTGCGCCCGTGTCCTCACTGGCAGGGGCGGCCACACAGCTCGGGGGTGCGACTCTGAAGTTTCTCATCCCCTTAATGCAGCTGGGCAGAGGGAGCATCTTCTCTGGCCGTGTCGCCCTCGGCCTCTGGGGCGCCCTCTCTGGCCTGTGCCCGCTGAGGTGGAGGGGCGGGGGGGGCGGGGACGTGCACACCCTCGGACCACCTTTGGGGTGGACTGGCCAGCCCAGCCAGCAGGCAAATGGCCTCCGTGCCCTGCTCCTGCCCACCAAGGGGACCATTGGCCAGCAAGGACAGGGGGTGGACAGGACGTGTCCCCCACCCAGAGTGGGGATCAGCCTGCTCCGACGCCTGCCCTGGGAATCAGGGGGTGGGCAGTAGGGCCCTAGCTGCCCGCACGGGCAGGGATGGACCAAGGTCACTGGCGAGCCCCAGCCCAGGATGGAGACGGCCCCCAGAGGTCACTTGTCCCCCGTCTCCCTGCCCTTCCTTCTGAGGCTGGGACAAAAGCCTTTTCTCTGCTCCAAGTTCAAAGAGATGATTGTCCTGAGAGGCGGCAGCTGTGTGTGCGCGCGCGGGCCCCGGGCGAGGCCGAACCGGGTCATGGGGGCACCTCGCCGCGCCCCCCATGTGCACTGCTGGTGGGAACATGGCCACGGCGGGGTGGGGGTGTCCTGGGTAATGAGGCTGGCGGCCAACGAGGAGCCTCGCTCGCCTGGACCCGGGCTGGCCGTCCGCGGAGGGAGAGGAGCCGAGGTGGGCGCAGCCCGGAAAGGGCCTCCCCTCCTGGCGGCCACACGGGGCCATGGGAGCCCCATCAAGCCCAGCGGCCCGGGTGGCCACAGAAGAGGACAGTAGATTGTGTGGGGTGCAGGGGGCACGACGGGGCTGGTTGTGGAGGCCGGGCCGTCCGGACGCCGGGGGCATCTGCTGAGAAACCTTGCAGGCACGTGGTACGGGGCCTGTCGGAAACTTGGGGTGCCCGGAAAGCCATCTCGTCTGTGCTCTATGGCCCCGCACACTTCCTGCCCCCCGCCCACTGGTGGCCGTGCCAGTGCCCGGGTCCCTCCCGCAGCCCAGGACGGGCTGGTACGAGCGGGCGCGCGTTCGTCGGGGCAGCCGGTGGAGACGGGAACGGTTCCGCCGGGGCAGGGTCCCCGCGCCCACCGCTCAGCCCGCAGCCGCGGCGCGTCCCTGGAGCGGCGGGGCTGGTCCGCACGGAACCGCCTGGAGCCCGCGCTCGGGTCGCCGTGGGGAGCGGCCCGGGTCCCCGTCTCACTGCCCGAGCACGTCCATCCGGATGAGCCGGGCCCCTGCCCGGTCCCGGCAGCTCTCCCGGGTTCCAGCCTCTGCGGCAGCCCCTTCCCCACCCCTCAGCCCCCAACTCCTCGCCTGGGCCAGGTGAGGGGCCCTGAGCTGGCCTGGGGCGCCTGTCACCAGGGCTCTCCCCAGGAAGCTCACTCGCCACAGGCACCTTCAGGGGTGCGGTTTGGTTTCATGCCCCGCGCCCCCGTATGTCGGGCGGGCACCCGGTGTGGGCGGGGCGGGGCCAGGGGCCGGGCCTCTCAGGTCTAGGAGCCGGCGGGTGGCCCCTTTGCTGTTCTTGGTGGGGGCGCAGTTGGGGCCCAGGTTCCCCGCAGCAAGCTGCGTCTGCTGTCTGCCGTGTGGGTGGGCTGCACAGGCGCCCCGCCGCCCCCTCAGCCGGAGCCCTGCGGGTTCAGCATGTGGGGGCGGCCCACGGGGTACCCACTGAGTCCCCCTTCCTTGCAGGTATCCGCCCCCAGATCATGAACGGCCCCCTGCACCCCCGCCCCCTGGTGGCGCTGCTGGACGGCAGGGACTGCACCGTGGAGATGCCCATCCTGAAGGACCTGGCCACCGTGGCCTTCTGTGACGCCCAGTCCACGCAGGAGATCCACGAGAAGGTGGGCCCCAGCCGCCCGGCAGCTCCCCACGCCGCTCCCCCCGGGCCCCCCGGCCGGCCACAGGCCCCCAACCCTGTGCTCTGGCCCCGCGGCAGGTCCTGAACGAAGCCGTGGGCGCCATGATGTACCACACCATCACCCTCACCCGGGAGGACCTGGAGAAGTTCAAGGCCCTGCGGGTGATCGTGCGGATAGGCAGCGGCTACGACAACGTGGACATCAAGGCGGCCGGCGAGCTGGGTGAGTGCGGCGCCGGGGAGCGAGTGGACCCCAGAGCCGCTGCCCTGCTGGACTCAGAGGCCCCACCTGGTGCCTGCGGGGCCATCACGCTCGGCCAGCTCCAGAACCAGGTGCCGGGGGGCCGTCCCAGCAGGGGGCGGGGGGCGCAGCTAATCGCCGCCTGTCGCTGTGGGCCAGCCGGGACCCGTCACCCTGCGCCCCTGCCCGTGCACCGGAGCCTTGGCGGGAGCGGCAGGTGGAGGGTGCCGGGCTGCCCTGCTGACCCCAGAGGGGACGAGAAGGCCCTTTTAGGGTAACACCTCTCTGACCGCCGGCCCTGAGCGCGGGCGGGAGGGGGTCTGCCCGAGGGGACAGTAAGGGGGTCCTCCATGCTCCCAACTGTGCTGAGGCTCTGGTGGGCCCGGGAGCCAAGTGATCCACCCCACTCTGAGTCGGGCGCCCACCGCGGCCCCTGGGTCAGCTCAGGTCACACCTGCCGGCATCCCACGCCCCGCCCCGCCGCCCTTCCGGCCCAGCGGCCAGCTGCTTCTCGGGCCTTGTCGGGGATTTTGATTGGGAGTCCCGGCTTTGCTTTAATGGTTTCTTTCCCCGGCTGCATGGGGGGCCATCCAGACCCCCTGGGAGTGGGAGGCGGCCTAAGCGATGCTGTCTGGTTTGATTTTCACAGTGGTACAGGGTGCAGGGTGGGCGGTGGGCGGCCCCCACACAGCCCCAACGCAAGAGGGAGGAGGTCGTTCCCTGCACCCTGGAAGCAGGAGCTGCACGGTGCATGGCCGGCTCTGAGCCTGGTGCTTCCGGGCTCCACTGCCACCCCTTGGGGTGACTGGCCCCCGGCAGGTGAAGGGGTGGCATAGACTCCAGGCCAGTTGCAGCACCCAGAGAGGCGGTGGCTTCCCCCCTCTACCCACTCCTCCGAGCTTTGCTTACAGCCTCAGCGTCGCTCCCGGCCTCTGCGCGGAGACCCTGCTGGGGATGCACGCAGGGGCCGAGTCTCCTGAGCACGCAGCCCGAGGGGCCGTGTCCCCTGGAGCTTGTCCTGCCCAGCGCCACACCCCCACTTCGGGACTGAATAGCCCAACTCTGCCTGCATCTCTCAGCTGTCCCCCCACACAGAATGGGGTTCTCATCACCTGGCTTCACCCCCTCCTCTCCAGGGATCGCCGTGTGCAACATCCCGTCCGCGGCGGTGGAGGAGACGGCCGACTCCACCATCTGCCACATCCTCAACCTGTACCGGAGGAACACGTGGCTGTACCAGGCACTGCGGGAGGGCACCCGGGTCCAGAGCGTCGAGCAGATCCGGGAGGTGGCCTCGGGAGCTGCCCGCATCCGTGGGGAGACGCTGGGCCTCATCGGCTTCGGTATGTGCAGCGACGGCAGCCCGCGGCCCCCCTCGCCAGGGTGGCCCGTCCCCGGGCGCCGCCGTCGCCTGCAGGAGTGTCTCTGGGACACTTGCTGTCCGCTCACCGTCAGGCCTAGCTACGTGCCCGCTGGCTGCCCGGGGCGAGGCTGACACAGGCGCTGGCAGTTAAGCAGAGGCCCAGGCTGGAGAGGCAGCAAGAATCGCGGCCGGGTTGGAGCCGGGTGGTGGCGGCACAGTGAGGTCCCTGGCTTGAAACCCCTCCCAACCCCCCACCGCCCCCTCCCTCCAGCCAGGAGTGGGTGGGGGTGGGTCAGTCACCCAAGGCGAGAAGCAGCTGGTGGCTTCTGGATCGGGATACCAAGGAGGCTGGGCTGGAAAGCCACAGGACGCCGGGGGCGGCAGGGGCTGAAGCGGGGTCACCGCAGTATCTCAGCCCTGCCCCTCACCGGCTCGAGAGCACGAGGAAGCCATTGGACTGCTCTCTGCGAGCTGTAACTCGGGACTGGGAAGCGCCCTCGTGGCCGCCTCTCCAGATTCAAAAAGCCTGAGAAAAATGGGTGGACAGTAAGTGCTGGACTTCCAGCCAAGCTCCAGAGGTGTTTCCCACAAGTACCCCATAAGGCGGGGGGGCCCACTGGACCACGGGAGGGGGAACTGGCTTTCTTCAGGCATGCAGGTCGTTCTGTGCTCTGAAGAAGGTGCCCGGCGTGAGGGTGCCAGGGAAGGATTCCTTGACAAGGACGGATGGAGTATTTACTAGCAATTAAGAACAGCAGGACTGTGGGGGGCCACAGCGCCCTCTGCTGGTGCCCACGCTTCCCCTCACTATGGAGGCCGATTCCTAGAACATTCCTTGGCCTCCGGTGATCTCAGGATGCAGACACTCAGCTTGTGAGGGGTCTGGCCACCTGGTGGCAGCTCGCAGGCAGGACCCCCATAGGGTCCTTCCTTCAGCCAGGCCCTGTCATCTGTCCTGTGGCGACCTTTTCAGCAGATGGAAAGCACCAACCTGCTGCCGGGCCCTCCATCCACCCTCCCGGTCTCTCCACAGCCAGAGCTGGGACGGGGAGAGGAGAGGTCCTGGCTGTCCCACTGCCCCCCCGGGGGTGCTGGCTTCTCCGAGCGTGGCTCAGGCTGCAGTGGCGGGGCCGGGGATGGGTGGCACTCAGGACAGCCTCCGAGTCAAGCGCATGGGCTGACGTCTGAAGAAAAGGCAGCCGTGGTGACAGTGTCTAAGGAAACAGCCGGTTCTCCTCCCAGGCTGGGTGCTGACTTAGCAGGTCACAGACCGTCACTGGGGTGCCTAAGATCAGGAAGTGTCTGAAGAGGACACCAGTGACAAGACTAGGGTTTGTTAAATTGAGAGACTCGCCGTCAGAACGAGCAGTCAGGCCGGCCAAGGGTGCGGTGAGAGACGCGCAGGAGCTCCCTGTCCCGCCCACCAGCTGCCCTCCCAGGGGCGTGGCTGGAGGTCTCCTGCAGCTGTCCCTCTTGGCTAGGCTGGCCCTCTGGACAACTGACCGTGGCCCTCAGCAAGTCACCATTAAACTGCCGTCCAGCCAGAGGGGACCCTTCCGCGGCGTCCTGTGGGCAGCACTTTGGCGTAAAGATGTGCTGTGTGCTCTACCCACTATCCTCCGCCCCTCAGCACACGGTGTGCCCGTCTGAAGGCTCCCTGTGGGCGTGGTCTGGAAACCAGGCCCACACTGGGCCTGCGGCATAAAAAACGCAGAAACGCAGAGATGGCTACAAAGGGGGCTTTCTGGGGATGGTGGAGCAGCAAACTTTTCTGTTGCATTTGAAAAAAACAGGTGGCCAAGACAGGCAACAGGCATCGCAGGCCTCACCCAGGACGCTTGGCCTGGCTGCAGCCCAGCGAACTGGGAGAGGCGCTGGCCGTGGCCCCTGAAGCGCACAGCCAGCGGTACGGCGGGCGCCGGCTCCGCGTCCCAGGAACCAGAAGCAGAGGGCCAGAGCTGGGGCGCCTCACACCGCCGGGCATGGGGCCCCGAGTGCCCGCGACGGACTGTGGCCGCGCTCACCTGGACGCTCTCTCTCTGCACAGGTCGCACGGGGCAGGCAGTCGCTGTTCGAGCCAAGGCCTTTGGATTCAGCGTCATCTTTTATGACCCCTACTTGCAGGATGGGATCGAGCGGTCCCTGGGCGTGCAGAGGGTCTACACCCTACAGGACTTACTGTACCAGAGCGACTGCGTCTCCTTGCACTGTAATCTCAACGAGCATAACCACCACCTCATCAACGACTTTACCATAAAGCAGGTAACTTGCAGTGCAAGCCCTCGCGCGAGCAAGCCACTGTGGAGGCCCCAGGGAATGGGAAGTGCCCCCCTGCACATGACTGAGCAGAAGGAAGGCCCCAGGAAGACGTGGGAGCTGAGTCAAGCCAGGGGCCCGGCCTCAGCCTGGCTGCCGAGAAACCACAAGCAGGGGACGGGCCACAGGGCGGACCTTCCCGCCACGCGGCCCCGGGATCCCCGGCCTCCTGCCGGCAGGGACGCTGCGCTCCCGCCCCCAGACCGCAACACACATCCGCACCGACAGAGGGACCCTGGCCTGTCTTCCTCAAACGTGGGTGCGAGCGTTCCCATGTAACAGCTCCTCTCCCCCCGCAGATGAGACAAGGCGCCTTCCTCGTGAATGCCGCCCGCGGGGGACTGGTGGACGAGAAGGCCTTAGCCCAAGCCCTCAAGGAAGGCAGGATACGGGGGGCGGCCCTCGACGTGCACGAGTCGGAGCCTTTCAGGTGGGCCTGCAGGCTGAGGGGACCCTCCCCCCAACTCAGCACTTTCCTTACTTCCTCTGATTCCTCCTGCCCCTCATCACACCTCTGACAAGCATGCTCCTAAGTTCCCGAGCCAAGGAGCCGCCGCGCGGGCGTGTCCAGGCACCAGCCTACGGGGTCCAGCACTCCCTGGGGGTGGCCGTGCGCGCGACTTTTGTCATTGACTGTGATCTTTACATTTTTCTAGCTTTGCTCAGGGTCCCTTGAAAGACGCACCGAATCTCATCTGTACGCCCCACACGGCCTGGTACAGTGAGCAGGCCTCGCTCGAGATGAGGGAGGCCGCCGCCACCGAGATCCGCCGGGCCATCACAGGTGAGCCCCCGCGCAGCTCGGCTAGCGTGCTCCCGGGGCCTGCTGTGGGCAGGCCTTTTAAGGGTGACCTTAAATTTTGAATGAGTTGGTTTTGTAGGAGCCCTGACTAAATTTTGATGGAAACCAATTCCCCCAGGTACAAGGTAACTTACGCCTGAGCCGGGGAGGGGTTAGGGGCCGGGAGTGAGGACCGACGGCCTCTGCTCTTCTAGTGCAGAATTAGCCCGGTGCTCGTTGGAGTGGTTCCTGGAATATTTCGCTTTTTTCGAGAATCAAAGGGCCAGCCCTTCTCACAGGCCAGGGGCTTGGCCGCTAGACGGGCGGCAGGGTAAACGTAAAGGTTGCTTTCCCGATGCCCCTGGAGTCCAGACACACAGGATGCCTTTTCATCACCTCGCCAGGTCGCATCCCGGAGAGCTTAAGGAACTGTGTGAACAAGGAATTCTTTGTCACCACAGCCCCCTGGTCAGTAATAGACCAGCAAGCGATTCATCCGGAACTCAATGGTGCCACGTACAGGTGAGGCGCGGGCGGGAGCCAGCCGGGCCGGTGTCTGGGAGTTAGACTCACTGCGGTTCTTCCAGTGCCTCAGCTCAAGGGCAGATATGCTCTTGGGGGTATAGTCCGGAATCAGCTCCTGTTGGAAAGGGGGTGGGTGAGGCGTGTCGTGCCCCCTCTCCGATGGGACGGGACATTATGCCAGGGCTCGCCTTTGCTTCCATGCAGCTCGCCCATCTCGGGAGGGTGCCCTGATAGGGGAGGGCAGAGCTGGATTTGATGCTCTGCTGGTTCCCGGGGGTCTCTCCTCTCACATTTGGGTGCCAGGGAGCTAGATTCTCCTGTATTGAGGGGAGAAGCTGCAGCCCGAGCCCCAGAGGGAAGTTTTGCTTGCGCTTGCTGGTGCTAGGGCTGCCTGCATTTTGTAGAATTGTTAGCAGTTTCCAGCCACCGCTGCCCATTGCACCCACGTCCCCAGGCAGGCCCATAGCCCAGTGCCACCTGGACCTAGAGCTGGGCAGGGTGGCGGCGTGCACTTTAAGTGACGGAGCCACGGCGGAGGAAGCCATGCTGTGGCTTCCTCCGGCACATTCTGTGACGGTCCCACTCTGGGTACTCCCAAGTATCACTCCTGGAGCCAGCGCCCCAGTCCCACTCAGGGAGGCTGGTGACCTTCTAGAGGCCCCTGGGTTGCTCATGCACAAGGCCGTGTTTCTCCTGGAGAGGGCTTGAGTTTTTCACAGGCCGGGATGGCTTTCGCCATCTCCTCACCCTCTGTAAACAGCTGGGTGCCTTCGATTCCAAAGCACCTGCCTCAGGACAGCTCCCTCCCCACAATGTTGCCACACACGGAGTCACACTGGTGCACGGAAGCCTGTGCTCTGGAGGTGGCAGCTGCCACTGCTCACACACAGCGACGCCTCTGCCTGAGAGAGAAGACAGGCGCACAGGCCCCTCCAGGTATCCTAGGTGGTCTCCGAGCCCCGCACCCTGTCACGGCTGCAGCATGAGGTGGTTTGGCGCGCCAGCCTGGGGAGAAGCCTCCCTGAGTATTTAGGGAAGTCATGAGGGCAGTCGGTGTGAGAACTGATCCTTTTCTCTGGCAACTCGGAAACAACGGGTCATTCTGCAGGGGCGCCTCCCGCCAGGTGCCACAGCACCCGCCAGCGGGGGTGGCCCAGTACTCTGACTGGACTAGTCGCATCTGTGATGAGCAGGCGCTGCTTTAGATTAAAAGCTGGAGTCCTCTGCTCCTCCGCCAGGGCAGTCACGGCCTTTCCTCCCTGTTCCTCAGATACCCGCCGGGCATCGTGGGCGTGGCTCCAGGAGGACTTCCAGCCGCCATGGAAGGGATCATCCCCGGAGGCATCCCGGTGACTCACAACCTCCCCACCGTGGCACACCCTTCCCAAGCCCCCTCGCCCAACCAGCCCACAAAACACGGGGACAATCGGGAGCACCCCAACGAGCAATAGCAGACGGTGACAAAAGGTATCATTCAGATAAACCTGGGACCAAGAGACGGTGAAAAGAGATGAACTACTAGAAGAGGAAGGAAGAAACGTGACAGGCTTTTTACCTGATTCTGGACATACGCATCACTGACGCTGCAGTGCTAGAACTACAAGAGCTAGAAGCCGTGACGTGGGCAAACTGAAGGTGGCGTCTGCTTCCTGAAGAGCTGAAAGACTAGGACGTGATTTATTAACGACCAACTTCTGTTATTGTGTGTTAAGTTTCTCATCTGTGCATCAAATCACAAAGAATAAATAGATCTTTTTCCTTTACCGGTCCCTGGGGCACAGCAGGTGAACACCTTGCTCTAGAATGTTGCATCAAGAGTTCCAAACATCAAAATAAAAAATATTAAGAGGAAATCCCCATCCTGTGACTTGAGTCCCTTCGGTCCACGGGGGCTGGTGACCTCTTTTGCTAATAGGAAGATAAAATTACTATGAAATGGGGAGCAAACTGTTTGCCTGTGTTCTAGACCTCCGGCAGCACAGGACTGGCGCCGGTGCGGGCTCGCACAGAGAAACTCCCCACCTGAACTGCGTACTGAGCGGGCGAGTTGGCTGAGTTCAGTAACACCCTCTGATGATGCAAAAAAAAAAAAAAAAAAAAAAAAAAGTATTAAGTTTCACAAGCTGTTTGTACTCAAATATATTTTCTCAGTTTCAGATCCTCAGCTATTTTATTGAGTGGAGAGTCTTGAACTTGAAAGGGTTCAAGAAGAATAATGTTGCATTTCCTTATGTCTCAGGAAACACTTTTTATGGTAACTTGTCAGATTGTCTATGAACAAACCCACTTTTTTAGACATTGATAAAGTTCTTTTCTTCACGTGATATTTTATACAAGAACACTTCAGGTGTGTTATTAGATGTGACTGATTTTAACAAATCCTATTAGATTTGTATCAACTAGTTTCATGTTATATTCATAGTCTTTTGTGAGTCATCGCCTTTTTGTTTAAAAGATGGCCTATTTTGAGCCTTTGTAGAGGTACATTCCTGTTTTTGTGACAAAAAAAAAAAAACCTTTAAAACTGTCCCAAACAGAATAATAATGGCTATCAGAAATGTTTTGTTTTAGTGTGAGTTACCGTTACTGTATTTGTTTATTGTAAAGGTGGACATTTAGCGTTCAGTGCAGTTTTCAATAAAAAGTAATAAAAATCTGTTAAGTTCTGAAGTTCAAGTACATCTCACCAATGTAACCGTCTCGAGATGTTAAAGGCAACCACGTTTTCAATTAGTCAATTGTTCTTTATGACCAGGGTTCAAATCGGACCAATCCTTTCCTACCAGCCTCATCTACAAGTAGATTTAAATGTTGACATGCATCTAATGTGACAGTTCAGTTGCGAAGTCAAAACCTCTCAGAGTCCATGGAGTTAAAAACTAAGTCAAGAAGGCCAACATTAAGAATTTCGATATTAATTTACCAGAGCCAAAATACCTGAACGCAAATATTAATTCAGATGAAGTAAAACTCAAAAAAAAGACATCAGTCATTTTCTATGTTAAGAAATTTAACTTGACTTAATGGCCTTTTAAAACAGCATCAAAAACCTCTTTGTACTAGAGACGTCTTAAGTGTCCATTAAGTCCAGCATCTCCAGGCATCAATCCCTGAGCCTTCCCGTCTAATTAAAATATTCAGGGCATGTTAAAGCATCATCATCACCTGTGTTACGGTGAAGTCCCCTCCAAATTCCCACAAAAAGTTACTGGGGGAGAGAGCACGGCTACTGACCTATCCTCCAGGAGTTACACGTTATCTTCCTAAGTGCTTGTCAAGTAGCAGCCAATGATGAGGGTGAAATGTGCAGGAAACATAGTCCCCAGCCATCCACGAGCAGCAGCAGCCCCTAGCAAAGACTAGGCCTCAGACACGATGCGCCTAAGAGTCAAACATCAACAGGCAGGTCCAATTCCATGATGCACCTGGGTTTTGTTTAATTAGAACAGAAAACACCACAATGTATTTCTCCCTAGGAGAAAAAAAACCAGTAAGTCTGTACAGAGTCAACCAAAAGACATTCACGTCTGTCACCCAGCAGCATAGACTCTTCCAGGAAGGACCGCATACTCTATTCTTGCTTATTTATGGCTGTTCAATAGTTCAAGAGCTTAACAGAGCATTGGATCACCCAAAATCTTAGCTTGCAGCAGTCTATGTCCTATGCAAACCATCCAAAGCCCCAGCCCTATCTGGAGCCTAGGAAATGGAAGTCTCTAATGCCTTCTCGCAGGGAATAATGCTGTACTGTTCAGCCAGATGTGGTCAGGATCGCTGATGATAATAAAAACCACCTGGAGGGCAGCAACGCTCAGACCGACCACAACACACAGAGGCCGGGAACCCAGCCTGTCCTTCCTGACAGCACTGGCTGCAGTGGAGAACAAAGGATAGACACTTTCCCCTCCGACGTTCTCTCTGGCTTCTTCAACTAGGAGGGTAGTTTCTGTTTAACAGACAACTAACTAGAACAGGAGCGGTGCCCACGGAAGAGATGTTCCTATACACGGAGCAAAGTTATTAGAGATGCTACTACACTAAGGAGTGAGAATGGCAGCCTTTTGAGAAACCTGATCAATTACTGATCAAAGTGAAAGCAAACCAGTAAATTTGCAATAAAACATTAACCACTATGAACGGTTTTTAACATTGACCATTATATCAAAGTTCATTTATATGGACTCAACTTGCCAGTGTTTTCCTGCAAGGTTTTGCATGCGGTAAAAGTAGATCAGCCTGGAAGCACCTTTTCAGGAGTGTTCGAAAGGGGAGGAAATTGACGCCCCTTGTACTTCTCCGTTTTGTCGTATTCTGGCCCTAAGTCTGAGGCTGTGTGCAGTCTTGTCATCTGGTTAGAGCTTAGAAGAAAACAAATAGTTAAAAGGTTTTCACAGCCTTTTCTCATCAAAGGGAAGGAAAAACTGTGTGTGTCTACACATAGACACACACACAACACGTATACATGGGGCTTCTTTCCAAATCCTTTCCCATTAATAGTTAACAAAGCGCTAATCAGGACACTAAGTCTGTGTTCCTGAGATAGGTGTGAAATTTTTCTCCAGTAGTGAATGTATACCTGAAGTGGTCAAATAATACTTTTTATAAAATGTTCTACGACTATACTTAAGTTAAAATAAAGATGGCCACAATTAACCAACATGCAAAAACTCTCAGACCACTCACTGAGAAACTCCTTATGCAGTGCATTTACCACTTCACTGCATTTTGGAAATCTTTTTATTCTGTACTGAACTGATTTCCCGATGAGCCAGAGCAGAGGCACCCTTCCTAGCACAGCCCGCTTGGCACAGAATTGATGAAAGAGCAAGTCCACAGCACTTTTGCACGGTGATCCAGGAATACATTGTCAATGGAGTAAATTCCACACAATTCATTTTGTTATAAATGGAGGCTCCCCCAATGTACATCCAGGGGGTACTTCACCAGCAGACTGTGGCCAGGAGTAAGGGCTAAGAACCCTTATTTTAAAGGTACTCTTTAAACAAATTAATACCTAAATACTGAAAAGGGGTATATCAGAAAACCTGAAAGACAAAATAACAGAAACCAAAATCCCTTGCAAAAAAGGGAGCAATGTCTATATGAAGTTCACTCAATAAAAAATTCTTATTTTCCTTGCAGTTTGTTCCTTAAAGATTTAATTTTATTTTATTGGGCACAACAGGGACTAAATTATTAATAAAATAAAAAGCTTGTTTATTTTTGTTTTGCTGTGGATAATTTGTACAAAAAGATTCCAAGTCTCTGGTGAACTCTGGTGAGACTTAATGTAAAATGGATCTCTTAAGATGGAAGTAGAATGCCAGGTTCTACTTGAAAAAAGAAGATCTCAAAGGAACAAAGAGGCATCTGCCATGTGCTTTTGTAGGTGCCCGTGCTGGGAAGAACTTCTGATAATATGAGGATGCTGGCACAACTTTTCCTATTACACAACTTCTTACACAACCACATGCGTTACTTTATAGACAGATTTACAATTTGAAAGGGAAAAAGTTCTGTCTTAATAAAATTAGTTTTTTACAAACTGGAGTCCAAACAAAGTTTTCTGTCCTCACGCAGCAGATGCAGCCTCCTCTCGGGGTGTGGATCGAGGCGCCCTCGCGCAGACCCTCCAGCTGGGCTGGTTCCAGGCCGTGCACTCTGCTTGGAGGGCCACACTCACTTTGGGGTCACCACAGTGCCAATACCTTGGTCTTCTGCTCTCTGATTTGTTTTTTATTCATCTTCATCATCTTCATCTTCCTCGCCATCAGACAGGGATGTACAAGGTCGGATCTGTCGGTAACGGTCGAGCCATTTTTCCACCATCTGCGTGACCAGGGGGTGGTTTCGCCGCCGGGAGCTTTTCTGCATGGCAACAAGCACCCCCCCCTCGGTCACACAGCAGTCCAGCCACTCCCTGAGCAGTTTTTCCTGCTGTTCCTCATTCCCTAGCTTTTAGAGGAATGTGAAGAAAAGGGAAGATAATACGACAGATCAGAAACGTGATAGGAAAAATTCAACAGAAATCTACTGCTGCTGTGAACATGGGTAACAGGGCCAAAGTAACAAACTTTTTAACATGGTTTCAAACTCAACAGTTTTATGATTCAAATCCAGCTTCCGGTGTTAAGTGGAAAAGACATCAGGGGAACATTCACAGAAAAACCCAAAGCAAAGAACCACCCAGTCAGGTGCTTTGATGTAACAGCAGAAAGCAAGTATTCTCTCACAAACTGTTCCTGGCGAAGAAAAGCCAGGTCTAAGTCACAGCTTCAAACATATGACAAGGTAAGTGCACCCTGTGAATTACGTGCAGACTGATGTTGCAAAAATTATGGTCTGGATTTTTTTTCTTAATGTGGTTATAAATGTTTTATGATTACTAGTATATCAAATAAAAATCCAATAGTTTTATAAGAATATGGGTTTTCTGAGTGTTCTTGCATGCATTCTCACCACCTTCGTCCCTTAACCCCCAGCCTCCACCGACAATGCTCTCCCCCTTGGTATTCCTGTGCCGGCCACTGCCGGGCATCTGCTCTCGACCCACAGCCAGCACGGACAAACCAACACAGCTGCTCAGCAGAGCAAGAACCAAAGCTTTCAAAGGCCAGTGATGAGCCTCTGAACCCTGCCCCGCCCCCAGCCCCTCAGCCTCCTCCCTCCCTCTGTCCACACACCACAAACTACACTGGCCTCCCAATCCCTTCTAGAACTCTCCCCACAGCTCCCTCGAGTGTTACTGCGGTCATGCCCTCGCCGCCCCGCTCAAGCCACAGCACCCCCACGACCCCGAGCACCACCCGCCCGTCGTCTTCCTTTGCTTTTTCCCCTTGGTCCTCGCTCCTGCCTGCCAAGGGGCTTTCATCTTCACATCACTGCTGCAGCCCACAACACACATCCCACTCAGAGTCGGGCGGTGTGTACAGAGTGAGTGGCTACCGCCCAAGTCCACGACGTGCCGGCCATGCGACGACAGCCCCTGGCAGGCGGCCGGGGCGCGTTCTGGCCGGCATCGCTCCCTCCAAGCGGGCAGCGAGGACGACGCGCACCCACCTCCTGAGCAGAGAGAAAGTGCACGTGCAGTAGCTTCCTCTCGCTGTCCACCAGGGGCAGGAAGGTGATGGTCACGTCGTCGTCCGTGTGCAGGTTCGCCCCAGCGCCGCGGCCGCCATAGCCGTCGTTTTCCATGGCGACCAGAGCAGAGAAGTGGCCCCGTGTGTAGCCCAGAGCAATCGGGCTTTTCCAGCAAAAACTCTGTTCCCACAATAAGGGCAAATAGACACCTGCAGAGAGGGAAGAACGCCGAGGCGAGACGTCAGCGTGCCAGCCAGAGCGCTCGACCGTAGCCTCCCCACCGCAAGCTGCGTGGTAGGAAGCAGGGGCCTCTGAAAACACCGCAGAGAGTGACTCACCTTGAAACCGAGTATATCCTAGGGTCTCTCCCCGGAAACTCTTGTAGTATTTCACGCCATAGACTATAATTGGCCGTCTAAGAATGTGCGCAAGTACAAAAATGTGCGTCTGCTCCAAACTTGCTCCCGGCTATGCGAGATAGAAGAGAAGAAAGCAGTGTCACTTTGAAATATTTATTGCCTGCCAAGAAAACCAAAGCCTATCCTCCCCAGCACAGATTTTTAAAAATTGTATCGTCAAGTTAAAGAAGCATTTGATGTCTCCGGCAGCCAAGGCCAGCAAATCTGTAAAGGAATGTGTAAGGTAGCTTCACTGCCCAACTCAAGAACCAAACAGATCTGGATTAATACTGAATTCGGGAACAAGGCGTCCAGACAGCAGGGGCTTCTTGACTGGCCCATCACCACCTGGCTGCACTACCTATGAAAAGCACTTTGACAGCAGGTCCTTCTGCGTGAAGAGACAGTGCGAACTTTACAACTTTACACAGGTCTGCCTTCCACTGCAAGCGTTCTACCAGCATATTTCCAGGACCCGTATAAACAGACCTCAGCTATGAAGCAGCCACTGTAAATCCTGCCCAAGGGGTGCAGACAGGAGACACACCCTTCTGGGGGTCAGATGAATGACAGGGCTTTCTGCAAAGAAATGGAGTGGTTTCTGGTACACAGCTGGGCTTCACCCTGCTGTATAGTGAATGTGTGTCACAAAACAGAACACGACACCTGAGTCTAAGAGGGACAGCGCCAAGCTCCCCTTTACTCGTTCCATGCCCCTCGTTGGAAATCCCTCCCGTCCACGGCTCCTGCTGCTTGGCTAACATCAGGTGAATGAATGCACCGAAGACGCCCTAGGTAGGGAGCCTGGTAAAGATTAGGATTTGTTGGCCAGGGCCTGACCGCTCAGCTCCAGCATGAGTGCCAACACTAGCTGGGGGACCTTGAGGTAAGCAAGACCCTCTCAGACACAGACCAGGCATTAACCTGCAGATAGGCAAACAGGCGTAAAACCACCTTCCTGGGGACATAATGAATGAAGAGCCATCAGAATGCGCATGAGCACAGAAGCATGGCTGTACACCAAGCACTGAGACAGCTATTATATCAGTTAATGTGAGAAACACATGAAACATCAGAAATCACTCCCCCTGCTCTGAAGGGAGGACACAGTAGATAACCAGGCGTCAAGAGGAGAACCCAAGTTACGTGAGGGGAAGGTCAGTGCCAGCGGCCAGCCCCGCCCCGCCCCGCCCCACAAGAGTAATACTGTGAGCCTCAGGGTTTGCAAACTTGGCTGCAGCCCTCACGGAAGGGCTGTGGCGCGAAGCATTCTCACCTGGCTGGCGAGAGAGAGTATAAATGCCCAGTCTTCTTGCCACTGTTCTTCTCTCAGGGAAAAATGTAAACCAAAGCTCTGAGAATACCACGATTCCCAATCTTTCCAACGTGTGTAAAACCTAAAACAGTAATTTAAAAAACAAAAACCTTTAAATAGTGCAATCATTTATTGTAGTAAAAAGCAATTCACATAAAGAGATTAGTAATCTGATTTTACCTGGCTTACAATATAGTCTTCAATTAAAAATACCTCTACTTTCCTAGCAGACACCTTTTAACATATCCTGAGATAAAATCTGATTCACCACTCATCCAAAATTTCATCAAAACGTCAAACACTAGAAGAATGGCTAATTTTAATAATCTACCATTGGTTTACATATTTAAAGAATTTTAAAACTACACTGAAAATCAGCGGTGTCGTGGCCACAGTCACCACACCCTCTCTCCAGAAGTTAGTGGTGCCCACCTGGGGACCCTACACAATGGACTGGGGCGTCCACGTGCTCACAAGACCATCGAATCACTTCCTTTTAATTCCCTGCCATTACAGGTTTTGATTATGATGTGATGATTAAAAAAAAAAAAAAATCACCACAACTACACAAGCAATTTCTTCTCTATATCCAATATCCCTCTAAATATTTTGGCCTAATCATGAAGATAAAAAAAATTGGTAGACTCAATTGCTAAAAACAAAATTCTATTTTTTTTTTTTTTGAAAGATTTATTTATTTGGGCCTCCCCTGGTGGCGCGGGCAGTTGAGCGCCACCCTGTGGGGCTGTCCACAGTGTCTGCGGCACTGGTTTGTCCCAGCCAGCAGGCGGGGGGTCCCATGTGGCGTGGCAGACCTCTCCTGTTGCGCCCCCAGCTCCCCTCAGCGGTATATTTCGTCAGTCTGCCTGTTCTGTTCCCCGCTCTGTCTCTGGTGAGTTCTCTCACCCTCCTGCTCATCTGGCCTGTACCCCGGTTCTTGTGTGGATGGATGGATAGATCTTTTAAAAAAAAAAAAGATTTATTTATACAAGAGTACAGGCCAGGTGTGCAGGAGGGTGAGAGGATTCACCAGAGACAGCGGGGAACAGAACAGGCAGACTGACGAAATACGCTGCTGAGGGGAGCAGCGGGCGAGAAAGGAGAGGTCTGCCGCACCATGTGGGATTCTCACCGGCCGGCCAGGATGGAACCCATGCTGCAGAGGCTGCAGACAGCTTTACAGTGCGGTGCTTAACCGCATGCGCCACCAGGGAGGTCCCAATATTCTATTCTTTTTCTTTACATTTAATCTGTTTGCATTATTACATCCCTCCCACTTAATAAAGAAACATAAATCCCAGATACTTTTACATAACTGAATTCTCAGCAAAAGGAGCAAAGGCTAAGAAAACTCTGTGTTGCTGTTGTCGAAAAGTCCAGCCTAGAAAGTTCCACGTGTTAGAGGCACACATTCTGTACATCAGTTAATGGAAAGGCCCCTAAACAGGTAACTACTATAGTTCAGATTTAGTAAAGGACAAAACAGGAATGCTACAAAGACTTAACTCTTGATAGAATTACTTTTCCCTCTTTCAGGTAACCAGGAGGTTTTTTTTTAATCAGCAGCGTAAAGTTTCAATGCCAATGTTTTGGAAATAAAATTGGATATCACTCTTAAAATACATAAGATAGGGCCTCCCCGGTGGCATAGCGGTTGAACGCTGGGCTGCGAGGCTGGCAGCGCCGGTTCATTCCCTGGCTGCCGGCAAGGGTCCCACACACACACACCAAAAAAAAGGTAAGATACACAGAAATATCTTTGAATGGTAGTACCACCAACAAAAACACTTTTGAAAAGTTCAAGAAGAAATATGAGATACAAAATGTTGTTAACAAGAAAGAGGCACAGTTCAAGCTTTCTTGGTCAGAACTGGGAATCATTTTATGAGCGAGACATTAAGCGTGCCGGAAATTAAATAATGACTGCACTCAAAATTCCTCGGTAAGAACAAAACAGCCTTAAAAAATAAGCATGTTCAAATAATCACCTCCATCGCACAAAAACCTGGACTCTGCAGCTACCTGGGTCAGGAACACAGGCCAGCAGCACAACAAAACAGGCCTGGTGGTCTTTGTCAAACACACGCACTCGGGACTAGATGACTCAGAACTGTCAACCAAGCCACTCTACAAATTCAGTGCGATCTCTCAAAATCTCAGCATACACTCTTGTGGAAACTGATACTCTGGATCCTAAAATTTATATGGAAATCTGAAGGACTGAGTAACTAAAGAATTTTGAGGGCCTCCCCGGTGGTGCAGCTATTGAGCGCTGGGTTGCGAAGCTGCCCGCAGCCTCTGCAGCGCCGGTTCGATCCCCGGCTGCTCCCTGGCCACAGGGTGAGGGCCCCGCATGGTGCGCAGACCTCTCCTGCTGCCCGCTGCTCCCCTCAGCAGTGTACTTCGGTCCTTCTGCCTGCTCTGCTCCCCGCTCTGGCTCTGGTGAATTCTCTCACCCTCCCGCGCTTCTGACTGTACCCAGTGCTTGTATAAATAAACAAATCTTTAAAAAAAAAAAAAAAAAAAAAAAGATTTTTGAAAAATACCAAGTAGGAAGAGTTGGACTCCTGATTTCAAAACTTACCACAAAGTCACACTCATCAGGACAGTCCGATGTTGGCATAAGAATAAGGACATAGATCAAAAGAAAGTACGCAGAGTCCAGCAACAAACCTATACTTTCATAAAGTCAAATAATTTTTGACAAAAGTGCCAAGACAACTGAAAGTCTTTTCAATAAATGGCACTAGGATAGTCACCCTCACATGCAGAGTGCATGATTTTAGATCTTTACCTCACAACTTAACCTCCACTCAAGATGGACCACAGACCTTAAATCTAAAATCAGAATCACAAAATTCTTCAATGATAACATCGGGAGTAAAACTTTGAATTTTTAAATTCTAAAATTAAAAACAGCTGTAATAGCCTAAGGGCTCAACTGAAGATTAAGGAGACAGCAAGAGCTGGCACCGAAGCTATCTATGGCAACAACGATTCCACCTTCCCCTCTAGTAACCTTCCTCGCCTCCCCACCCCAAGTGGGGTCACCACAACCCCTGCAGCTTCCTGTGTCTTCACTGTAAACATTAGGGGGTATCCCGGCAGAGTGGAGGAGGCGGTGCCAAGGCACACTGTTTGAGGAGGTCTGTCCATAGGCAACTCGAGGCCCTCACTCCTGAAGCATCCTTTTGTGCTCAAGGCCTCCATTACCAAAAGATCTGCTACAATAACACGTAACAGAAGCTGGACCCATACAGCCTAGCTGCTCCCAACCGGCCCATTTACCACCTCAGGTTACGGCACCTGCACGTCTCCCTGCTTCCCTGCTAGACGTCTGAGACCTCAAAGTCACCTCAGAATTCCGTCCTAAAACAACTTCTATTGGAAATTCTAATCCAGAAAATCACTCACTACCAGCTTTACCACCAGCCACCAATGTCTTTAAAAAAACGAAAAAAAAGTGGGCCTCCCTGGTGGCAAAAGAGGTTAAATTCCAGCACTATCAAGCTATCAGCGCCCACTACAACAAGAGTTTGATCCCCAACCAAGCTGCTGACCCACATGGCGCAGCAGACCTCTCCCATCTTGCTTGAGGCTCTCCTCAGCAGTGGATTTCAGGAGATCCACTTGTTCTGCTCCCCACTCTGTCTCTGGTGAATCCTCTCACCTCCTGCTTACACCCCTGCTCTTGTGTGCATAAATAAATAAAAATAAATCTTTGGAAAAAAAAAAAAAAGCCCTCAAATAAGGAACAACAGCTATCACCTGAAATTTACAGTGCACTCTCAGTCTTACAAGGGCAGGGTATTAGCAGCAAAGGAAAGGCGCCAGAGCTGCTTTTACAAAGTGACAGATTTACCAGGGCCAGCTCTGCCTTCCGAGCCGGCAGCCAGGCCTCCCTCACCCACACCCAGAGAACAGATCCACCTGCCTAGAGCAGAGGCGGTAACTAAACCAGCAGGTTAACTGTGAGACAATCTCAGAAACTACTCTCCTAGGAACCGAGTAATTCTCACCCTCTGCGGGCGTAGGCAGGCCCAGCAGACAGCAGTCATCAGTAGGAGGGTACTTGGTGAGCATGCAAGCCAATCAGCGCATTCATTGACATCACCTTGCCCTGGGCGTGTCTTCCCCATACCACAAGATCAATCCTCAGCACTCCCTCAATGCCACTGCAAGACACAAAGCCCTCTCTCCTGGACAAAGGCTGCATGACTGAACTGGCCTTTGGGAGCGACCTAGCCCTCCCTCCAGTACATTACACACCCAATCAGGCTGTAACCCAAGCTTCTCAAGCAGGAGCTATTTTATTTTTTTCAGATAACCACAAAATTTTACTCTATTGCATTATGCTGTAATCTCAGAAAATGTGGCACTCAAGTAATTATATTTGCCCTCATTTTCAAATTCCAGACAGTGCTTTTATTTTACTAAGTACTGACTGCACACTTACTATGTCTCGGGCTACTTCAGGCCCTAGATCCTCCACAAGGCAACACAGCATCTCTGTTCTTGTGGAATTTACATTGTAATGGACTCTGTGTAATCCCTAAATACTAACGACAAAACCGACAACTAATGAGTGCTCAAAAATTATATGAAAATACTAGGACACTAAATTCATTTGGAGTAGGGCCACGATCATTATTGTGTCAGCATTCAATTAAGTTTAAGACAAAAAAAGCACCTTTGATACTGACGTATGAAAAATAGTACAAATCTTTAAATGACTTCCGCTGCTAACTTCAACAATGGGCAATTTAGCCTCTTTCAGGCTCAATTTTCTCACTTATGATAACTAAATAAGATAATGCATGCAGAGAACCACCAATATACCAAACATCAAACTACTACTGATTCACAATCACAGCCATTGTTGCAAGCGACTCAGTTTAAGACTACAGTGACACACACGATGGGACACCAGACAAATATATACATATATATGGGATATTTCTGAGAATGTGAAAAATGTGCCATGACTGTATGCTGAATAACTGGCCTAGTGTTGATTTTCTCAGATGCAGTCATGGGGATGTTGTTAAGGAAGGAGAGTATCCCTGTTCTTAAAATCTTCATGCCGAGATAGTAAAGATAAAGCATCTGATTCCTCTAAAACTAAGTGGCAAAGGGAGTGACTATGTATGCAGAGATGGAGCCTGAGCAGCCAGATGTTACCCTTCAACCAAATGAAGGTGATATTGGGGCCTGTTGCCCTTGATATTTTCTGACTTTTCTTTAAGTTTAAAAAGTTGCAAAAAAAATGTGGTGTTAAGACTACCTGCCTTAGGAAGGAAAAAAACTGGTAATACAATGTGCATCAGGTTGAACAAAATATGAGCAAAGATACCATCGATACTGAAGGTTACTACAACTTCATTGTCTCTATTTTAAAGCTCAGTAGAAAGGTGTTATTCCAACTACGGCAATGATCCAAGTGTCTTAATAGCCAAAGCCAAAGCTATTTTCCCCCATCTTCCACAGAAAACGCATCAGGAAGCCTCCAGCAGGGAAGGGGCTCACCAGTGTGAACAGTCATGCAGGCTGTCGTGCAGGGCTTTCCGCAGCACCGAGTCTTTGTCATAGATGCCCCAGGTTGCCTGCAGTACGGAGTCTAGTAAGCAGTCTCCTGCAGTACGGTTCCAAAGTGCATAAAGCCGGCTGTCCAAACGGGTAGCCAATTCCAAGGACCAGTTTATAATTGGAGACTCCTCTTCTAACTCTACATGAGGAATGGAAATAACAGGTTCCTTTTCATGCTTAAGCAATTAAGGACTATTCCTTGGAGGAAGGAACCTACTTTCCAGGTGTTACTTTACACATAATTTACTAATAAGTACCTAAATAAATCTCATCAATTGAAATATAAATCTTTTGGTATAATTTTCTGCAGCAACCTTTCTATTTGATGGATGGGTTGCTGCCAGATCCAAAAATCATTCAATAAAGCCAATTAGATCTTTAAATGTGGAAAGAAATTTTAAAAATATATATATATTTGCATAGCTGAAAACATCTTGTTGCTCTAGGATAATTTACTCAATTATTCTTTACAATTTATTTTCTAAAAATGGTTAATGTAGATATATACTCATTCTAAAACAGGAAGTAGAAAATACAAGGTTTAAGAACATTCATATATTTTGTGTTCACTAGTTAAAATGAGCATTTTTTATAACATAGCACTGTCCTAAGGACTTTACATTTTTAAAGTAAAAATAAAATAGGTTGATATACACCAAACTCTCCAAAACTCACAAAATTTATTGAAATCAATGAAAGGTAAATAAATGGCAATCACTAATTCCATGCTTACCTTTTTGAACATCCCTATCAAGCACCTCATCAAATAATTTTTCTTGGACTGTTGGAGGCAAGTCTTCAATATCTACAAAGAAAAAGTAGGCTTAAAAGATATTCTTATGTCTTGTTACTTAATAAATTTGACAGCAGCATCTAACAGTAACTCCCTCTAAAATAACCATCTTTCCACTAAAGGTTATTAAGTAGTTTGTTTTTAAAGCGTGTGTGTGTGTGTGTGTGTGTGTGTGTGTGTGTGTAACATGTATGTGGAGGATAAAACATTTCCTTTCTGCACTTCATTGTCAAAAACGTGTCTAAAAATAACAGCACCATCCTAAGCAGTAATTACATACAGCAATCATCAAAATGGCAAGAGCCACAATGTTGCTGAGGACGTGGGAACATTTGCGCACTGCTGGTGGGAATAGTAACTGGCACAGACACTACAGAACACAGTATGGAAGTGTCTGAAAAAATACAACAGAAAATCAAATGAGGGCCTCCCCAGGTGGCACAGTGGTTGAGTGCTGGGCTGTGAAACTGCCTGCAGCCTCTGCAGCGCCAGTTCGATCCCCAGCCACCGGCGAGGGTCCCACATGGCGCGACAGACTTCTCATGCCGCGCCCGCTGCTCCCCTCAGCAGTGTATTTCGTCGGTCTGCCTGTTCTGCTCCCTGCTTTGGTGAATTCTCTCTCCCCCCCGTGCTTCTGACTGTACCCAGTGCTTGTATAAATAAATAAATAAATCTTAAAGAAAAAAGAAAAATGATCCAGCAATCACATTCCTGGGTATTGACCCAAAGAACGTAAAAACAAAACACTTGAAGAGAGATCGGCACTCTCAGGTTAGAAGCAGCACACGTGGCAGTGCTGCATGTGACGTGTGTGTGACAGCAGTTCCTCAACCAGAGGAAGATGGGATGGCTGCCACCTGTACAGTGTTGACGGGACTGTGGGCATGACGCTAGGTGAACTAGCCAGAGACAAACACTGCATGCTACCACACACAGACTCTTTATCCAAAAGTCAAACTCGCAGAGTAGAAAAGTGGTTGTGGAGCTTGGGATCGTGGTGGAAATAGGGAAAACTGATTCATGGGTATGAAATGTCAGCTCTAAGATGAATAAGGCTATGGATGTAATGTAAGACACATTGGCCATACTTGATAACACAATGTTGTACAACTGAAATGTGCTGATAATATTCTCACCAAGAAAACAAATATGTGAGGTGATGACTATGTTAATTAATTAGGTGGGAGGAAATCCTTTCACAAAGTATGTCTGTATCAAATCGCCATAATCTACAATTCAGGTCTCTTACAATTTCATACCTCAATATACCAAATTATATCTCATTAAAGCCGAAACTAAAAAAAAAGAACAGAGCTATCTGATATTCAAGTTAAAAATAGTAATAATTACATACAGATTTTTTAATTGTTCTCTTCTCCCACATCTCAATCTCTGCTCACGTCTCTTATTTTCAGACTTTAGAATCTTCCTATAAAAGTTAATGAATCATAATTCTGGCACACAGATCTCTGTTTTTGCCCTCTTTTCAAATTACCTAGCTCTATTCAGTTTACTATTTGAATGATCTAGTTTAAGAAGCATTATTATTGAAAATAAAAAAAATTATTTTCAACTCAAACAACAATCTAATCACTTGGGAGGAGGTTAAATTTACAGGGTATACTTCAAGTGAAATTTGTCTTCTTTTAAAAGGTTTAGCTACTCTCTCCTACCATGTGCAAATGCCCCCGTTTATGTCTGAATACAAAATTTCAAAATATCCAGAGTCAAGACAGAGGCTTTACTGTAGAAACTTTTGGTGCTTGGTGCATTTGCAGTGCCAACTGACAACAAGCATTCTGAAAGACACTTTCAAAAGAATGCCAGTATCTCTGCCTCAAATAACCTGACTGTACTCACTGAGAGCCCATGCTCTAATTCCTGTCTCCTATTACCAGCTAAACCATAGCTAATAATTTCAAAATAATAGGCTGGCATTAAGAAAAACAATGACTGATAGCATTCTAAAATAAAATGGAAGGGCCTCCCCTGGTGGCGCAGCGGTTGAGGGTTGGGCTGCAGCCAGTTCGTTCCCCGGCCGCCGGCGAGGGTCCCACATGGTGCGCAGATCTCCCCTACCGCGCCCGCTGCTCCCGTCAACATTGTGCTTCGTCTGTCTACCTGTTCTGTTCCCCGCTCTGGCTCTGGTGAATTCTCTCACCCTCCTGCACTTCTGACTGTACCCAGTGCTTGTATAAATAAATAAATAAATCTTTAAAAAAATAATTAAAATAAAATAATATGGAAGAGGAAAAATAAGTGGTTAAAAACAAAAATTTCTAAATATCTGAGACCCACAAGAAAGTTCACTGCTATCAGCTGTTGGCCTCCTCCCAGATAACTGAATTGTTTGCTTGTAAGTCCTCATACTGGTGACTTCTAGCATTAAAAAGCTAGTCAAAGTAATTTAAGATGCAAATATAGTAGGCTAAGTTACCGGTTTTCCAACAAAAACTTTCTCATTTAGACATAAAAAAAATATAATAAAGTGGAAATTTATTTTCATATTGAAATTTGGAGTTACCTGCCGGCAATGTAAATGTTACGAGGTCAGTTAAAAAATAGCAAGCAAAATCCCCCTTTCTCTGATGAAGAGAAGCAGCTATCTCCCGTCGGATCTGCTCTGTCAGTTCAGGACACACCATTGCTGGAATACACTTTGCTGCTTGTTGAGATACCTTAAACACAAAAAAAGACTTTGCTCTGCATCTCATTTATCATCAGCCAAAGCAGAAAACAACATTATTTAAAAATAATTGCCAAAAAGGCCTACTAATTCAAGGTGTTTTGTTGTTTTTTTCCTAACTATCAGGTATTGGATAGAATTTCCTTCCACTGGAAGGAGGCATCAGTGCACTTCCCAGGGGCAAAAACCAGCCATAAAAATGCTTTGCTCTGAGTCTCCCTGGTGGCGCATGGGGTTAGAATGTAGCCTATGAAGCTATTCGCAGCATAAGTTTGACCCCCGGCTGGCCAGGGAGCAGCCCACATGGCGCAGCAGACCTCTCCTGGCTTGCCCACTGCTCCCCACAGCAGTGGACTTCAGTCAGTCTGCCTGTTCTGTTCCCCACTCTGTCTTTGGTGAATCCTCTCAGCCCCCCCACATCTCTGGCCTGTACCCCAGCTCTTGTATGCATAAATAAATAAATCTTAAAAAAAAAAAAGGTAACAAAAGAAAAAAAAATGCTTTACTCTGACTCAGTAATTCTGTGTCTTGGGAACTTATTCCAAAGAAATACACAAAGCTGCATATAAAAATGAATGCAGATAAATATTTGTTACTTGAATGAATAAATGAAGAATGAATGACAGACATATCCAGTTTTTTAAATCAAATATGATGATTCAAATACTGGAGCAAAATGTTCTATTTTAAAAGCATCTCACTCTTAAGAATTACATACAGTTAAAGTCTCAAGTTTAATGTGATTTTTAAAGGTGGATAAAAGAATCTAAAACTGTTTGAAGAAACAAAGTAACATCAAGAAGGAAAGCTGAAGAACTCATGTCCTTCAAAGTCTAACCAACGGGCAATCACCTCAGTGAGCAGTATTGCCAGCATGTCCTGCCTCTGGAAGCGGATGGCCAGGTGCACCAGCGTGTAGCCCACATCGAAGGCAGAGGGGCGGCTCAGCAGGCGTACTTCGTCTGCGCTGAGCTGGCGGGCGATGTCCCCTCCCGAAGACTTGTATGCTTCTATAGCAGCTAAATCTCCTTCCACAACCCCTAAAACAGGCATCAAGACATAAAACAGTTTCATTCTATTTTCCGTCATGAAGCACAAACCTGCAGCACTCACGCAAACTAGTGTTTCTGTGCTTCTCGGATCCGGGGACATTGTTTGAATGTTCTAAAGAATACAAGGAAAAGAGTGTGCTCCTCTCCTTTTTATTTCTTCTAGAACTACACCTGCCTAGTTACAGATACTTACCTTCATGTCAGTGCTGGTGCCATGCTCTACAGGGATAGAGGGATTATGTGGAGATATTAATTGGATCAAAACTCAGCAATCTAGTATGAGACCCTGAACCTCACAGAAGATACTAAGCTCCCGTGCTGGTCCTGCCTGCAGACACCAAGGAGACAGGAACCACTGCTGGTGCTGAGCGGCGTCTGCCCTTTACACTGAAATCTTTAAGCTGAACCAGCATGCTGAGCTCTTCATACTGCTGTTTAGCGTCAAAAGAATCTAGAGCAATTAAAAACAGTTTCCATGCAAGTAAAAGCTAGAAATACTCTGATTTCAGAATCTCTCAAAGTCAAGTCTTCCCGTACACCACCTGAATTATTCGTACAGTACGAATTATTAATACAGTAAAACTAAGATAATTTTGAACAAAAAACTATGTGAAAATGAAACATTACAAAGTAGTTAGGGGTGGGGAGATGAAACAATTATCACCTTTTTCCAAATCCATAAAAATCTTTCCATTCCAACTGAAGTATGTTATTCATCTTAATGCATATCAATGTAAAGGCAGCAACCCTATTTGGTAAGCAGAGCAGTACCATCTACGCACCAAAAAAAAAACAAATAAACTTGGCGGAAAAACGAAGGTATAGGTCAGCTTCAAATTTACCACAAATAGTTTTTTTAACATGCCAAATGGCAGGACCAAACAATTTTAGGTGTTTCCTATTACATCAAGCAAAATTTGTTGTGTAAAATGTTAACATTAACTAAAAATATTCTTAGCATACTTTAAAAATACCATTTCTGCCTCCCTGGTGGTGCTAGGGGTTAAGCACCACACTATGAAGCAATCCACAGCCTCTGCAGCACAGGTTCAATCCCCAGCCGGCCAGGGAGCAACCCACATGACAAGGCAGACCTCTCCTGTCTCGCCTGCTGCTCCCCTCAGCAGTGTATTTCAGTCAGTCTGCCTGTTCTGCTTCCCACTCTGTCTCTGGTGGATTCTCTCACCCCCTGCATCTCTAGCTTGTACCCCAGCTCTTGTATGCATAAATAAATCTTTTCAAAAAAAAATTTTTTCAAAAAAAAAATAAAAATTCCATTTCTAATCACCACCTTGTATTAGGAATTAAAGTATAACAGATTGGTACAATGCAATAATTTGCCCCACTTATTAAAAATAACAAAGCTTATTTGTTTAGTTCCCCCATTCGCCAAATTTATGACCCCGAGGCACCACGGGGGCATTGTGAGGAACACGACCACAGTGAGGCATGGCTCCTCCGCCATGTACAGTCCTTGTACATCGCACTCGTGAGCCCTCAAATGCCAGCTTCAAAGGTTTTCAAACCATCAGATCATAGATCCTTTCTGCAAATCCTGATCCTTTCCCTAGAAAAATGACGCCTTGCCCCAACACATACATTTGTCAGGTTAAGAATCCAGTATCAGGGGCCTCCCTGGTGGTGCAAGGGGTTAAGAAACAACCTGTGAAGCTGTTCGCAGCCGCTGCAGCACAAGTTCCATCCCCAGCCAGGGAGCTACCCACATGGTGCAGCAGACCTCTCCTGCTTCGCCCGCTGCTCCCCTCAGCAGTGTATTTCAGTCAGCCTGCCTGTTCTGCTCCCCACTCTGTCTCTGGGAATCCTCTCACCCTCTGCATCTCTGCCCTGTACCCCAGCTCTTGTATGCATAAATAAATAAATCTTAAAAAAAAAAAAAAAAAAAAAAACCTGACTGAAATACAGACCCAGCTAAGCAGTGGTGCACAATTACAGATAAGGGAAAGTTAATATACTCTTTAAAACATGAAGAATCGAGACTAAATCAAAGTAACTATAGTATGTATTACAAACTACAAATTAAGCAAACAGACAAGCAAAAAAAAACCCCATGTTGTTCTGGACCAGGAATAGTTAATCTATTAGAAGCCACGGGTCACAACTCACTGGGGACTTCACAGCTACGATGGAACTCCGTTGGTCAGAATATGGAGCTGGCTCATAAATGTTTAGAAAAGACTTATTTTTTTCCCCCATATATGGCACAGTTTTCAAAGTTTTGCCTTATTTTCTTTTAACATAAAAATCATAATGGTAACTAACTTTGAAAAGATGCCAAATGGTAAAAAAAAAAAAGCCAGGACTTACCTGAGCCCACCTGGGGCCAGCTCAACATTACCCTGGAGTTCTATGGTAGCTGTGACATCACAGCATGCTTTATGCTGTGGGGGCAGGGCGGACTTGAAGTCAGCTGGCACAATGTCAGGAGCCCTTGAAGAGAAAAGTTAGTTTTAAGTGGTAATGTTCAGAATGTCTGTTCTCACGGTGAGCAGAGATGCAAGATGGGGCTGGTCACATGGCATGGGTCATTTTCCCCTACCAGAGTTTAATCCATTTCACTGGTTTTGCAAGTTAAAAAGGAAGGTACACCAAGCCAGAAATATTTTTTCTTTATACTCATCAACATTTGGCTATTATTTAATCCCAAACCTGGTTTAATCATGGCAATCTCTTTCAATACTCAAACATGAGCTGCCTTTCAAATAAAATGACCTCAACATTTTTTAAGTGTATCTTCCAATAGCCACAGTGATAATCCCAAAAAGTTTGAAGACCACCAAACAATCACTTCCTAAATGCATTTTTCACAGAATACCCAAAGTTAATCTACCAATTCTATTCCTCCGAGAAATAACCCTTTCCAAAAAAAGGATTGGATAAAAATCACAAACTGAAAATATATTTTCAAACTTATCATAATTTGTACTATCTATCAAGGCAACCTTCTATGCAATTTATTAAACTCCTTTATTAAAACAGCCTCGTTAGAAAAATGAAAGATTCAATGAGATAGGGAAGTCCCAGTCACTAATTGTTGTATTATTGATCATGACAAATTATGCAAAACATAGTTCAAACTTCAAGTTCTGACCTAGTTAAACATCCCAACTGGTGGAGAAACATAAGTCTGCAAAGTCATGAAAAAGCTACCTGAAGTAAAAGCTACTACTGAAAGCATAATGAAGGATTTCAAGAAACGTCTCACGTAGCTGTCTTTGGAACAAGTCACCCAGGATCAGGAATGCTGTTAAAGGGTTAGTGAAGCTGAATCTAAGTTCAAATTGCAAAGATTACATAAAACACTGACAACTGTAACTGGAAGTTTAAAGTTCTTCAAAACCTAGGGTTCCAAAAGTCATCCAAAATAATGTATGCCTCAACCACAGTCACCATGAAATCAAGTCCCAAGAGTTCTCTCTGATTTCAAAGTAAAATCTCATCTGCAACACTGCCAAATTATCCCAGCTGAATTTGAAAACCTATTTTAGATTTTGAAAATTTTACTATTTTACTAGAACTGGGGGAAGCAGTCCAGCCCACTCTTCTACAATTGAGAGAGCTAGAGGTAAATGAACATCTTTAAGGGACAGCGGCAGTACAGAAAGCGGCTCATCATGACACAGCATCTTTACTACTGTTTATATTTTATTAGTATCAATCTTTTTCTAGTCAAAAATGCTAACTCAACTGAAAGAAAGAATCGTCCTGAAAGCGATGTTTAAGGGTGACTTAGTCCATCTGAGAAGGCCCCAGGAAGAAGCACAAAACACTGGCAAGAGAATCCCCTGGGCTTTAAGAATCACTGGTGCCCAAGTACCTGCGTAAGCTCAATGATAGCTTCGCCCCAACATCGCCAGCCTACAGAGCCCACACTCGCTCATCTAAACAGCCTCTCTCTGCAGTGTCTGCAATGGGACTTCATTTCTCCTAGGTTTAGGAAAAAAACAATCAACAGCTACCTGACCCACAAATGCCCACACCTGGGTATCTTTCTTAACTCCTCCTCCTCTCAACTCTGTATCAATCAATTCTTCCTAAGAATTCTTCCTTTTAAGTCTTTCTCAAATACACACTGCGACCCCAAGTTCAAGACAGCGCTCACTCACCTGGACTACTGCCACTTCCTCCTCTGTGCCCAGCCTGCTCCGCCCACAGTCTCCAGACTGTGACCAGGGATCTTCCCAGACCACAGGTTGAGTGAGGCATCTCCTTGCAAATGCTCACCGTTGCCTGAACTAAGAGGGAAACACCTGGGCCAGATCAGCAGGCCTTGACAGGGCTGGCAGTGCCCTTCAGGTTGCCTCTTTTCTCCCCCAGCCCCTATCGGGCAATTGACCCTACCTTCTCTCAGCTTTTTGGGCAGGCCATGCTCTCGACTCTGGGATCTGAAGACGTGCTCTTCTCCGATGGAAACACTCCTCCCTCTTCTCTTCAAGGTTGTGGCTTAGACGCTACTTCCTGAAAGCCCTCCTGGAAGCTCCAAGGAGATGAGGGTGTGTACCCCTCGGCTAGCATCCTGCACTTTCTCTTCTCTGCTCATCACACCATACGGGTTTGTAGAATGCATCTTCTTCAACTAGATCTCCAGCCTGCTGAGAGCCAGGACATCTTTCCTGGTGCCCGGGAGCACACTCAATGACTAGCTGAATGCATGAGAGGGATGGATGAGCAAGCAAAAGGTAACAACTAAGACAATTCTGAAAAGCAATAGGAGGGTGGAGAAGGATGGACATTTCTCTCATCAGATTTTTAAATACCTAATAAAGCCATAATTATTTACCTAAAGTGTTATAGTGACATAAAAAGCATAGAAAGGGGCCTCCCTGGTGGCGCAATGGGTTAAGCACCGCACTATGAAGCTATAGCAGCCTCTGCAGCACGAGTTCAATCCCGGGCCAGCCAGGGAGCAACCCACATGGTGCAGCAGACCTCTCCTGTCTCCCCATTGCTCCCCTCAGCAGTGCTTTCAT